AGTCTTGCCATGACTCAGAACTCCAGGGAGCTGATGGGCAAGTGCACTAGGGGTCAGTTCAGGCAGTGCCTAACGTGACTGGGGTAACAGTGACCATATACAGCTGCATTACACAATGTCCCCTCCCTCTGATCACTGCCCTCCATTAACCATTTATTAAACATTCTAAAATAATGCGTGTGGGAACATTCAGTTCTCACAAGTCCATTAGAAATCGCATTCTGACAGCTCAGCGCCTCAGTTCTGGCTCTAGCTGAATAATCTGAATACTACAGGTTTCATTTCTCCTCTCTCTTCTACAGCATGCCTGGGATAAGCAATGTGCCATTTTCTGTAAACTTTAATCCCTGAAGCTTTTTAATCCCTGAAGCTTTTGTTCAGTCTAGTTCCGTCTAGCTGCTTTGAGATGACTTCATTAAAACCATTACACAGCTTGAGGCAAGGCCACTGCTAAGCATGTATGCTTGGTTGCTCAAGTACTTTCCAACTATTTATAAAGTTCTTTCCAATGTTATGAATACGTAACATCAGAAAATGTAAAATGAAAAGCTAAAGCCATTATTAATGGTACCATTTGGAGCCAAAGTTCCCATGATATGAAATAAATCTTTCTGGGTTTGTTTTGGGGAGGGGGCAGGGGCAAGTGGGAGGGATGGGAGTTACAAAACTTATATACTTAGAATTAAACTGATAGGGTTTTGAACTGAGCCACTCTGCCTGGTTCTGTGAATAATGACTTTTTTTTTTTGGGGGGGGGGGTCGGTCGTGGGGCCTGCTCTACCACTTCAGCCACAGCCCAGTAGTTCTGGCTTTTTTTTCTGCTTATGTGGTGCTAAGAATTGAACTCAGGGCCTCATGCATGCAAGGCAAGCACTCTACCACTGAGCCACCTGCCAGTCCCTGAATAATGACTTTTTATGAGGCCAACTGGTAAGCAAAGATAGTTTATCAAGGTATTTTCTAAAGAGAAGGGCTATCCTTCATGACTGATGGGATGGTCTGTGCTTCCTGGATGGTGTCTGGGCCCCTCTGTCCTATACATGAGGATCCCTCTGCCTGGGGTGCCCTCCCCCCCAATCTTGTCAGCCTTATCAAAGCTGCACTTCTGGCTGGGATGTGGCTTAGTGGTAGAGTGCTTGCCTCACATGCATGAAGCCATGGGTTTGATTCCTCAGTACCACATAAATGGAAAAGGCCAGAAGGGGTGCTGTGGCTCAAGTGGTAGAGTGCTAGCCTCGAGCAAAAGCTCAGGGACAGTGCCCAGGGCCTGAGTCTAAGCCCCAGGACTGGCAAAAAAAAAAAAGCTGTACTTCCCGAGTGCTCCCAAACCTGTGCCACATGCACTCATGTCCACTGTGGCAGTTAGCATATGGCAGAGTGATCCCAGTGTGACTGGGTTAGTGCATCCTATAAACTGGGACAAATTTTATACTTGACCTAGGAAAGAACATCATAAAAACACGACAGGGTAGGGTTGGAATCTGGGCCTTGGAGCTAAGCTGCTTGGGTTTGCATGTGGATCCTACTTCCAACAAAAGATCACTAGCTGTGATCCTGGTGAGTTACTATTTCTCCTCTCTCTCTCCTCTCCCCTCTTCTCCCTGCATGCTGTCTTTTTCTCCTGGGTCTTGCTATGTACCCCAGGTTGGTCTTGAACTCACGATCTCTCTGCCTTGGCTTCCTGAGGTATACACCACCACTCTTGGCTTTGTTTCTACTTTTTCTTTTCTTCCTTTTTTGTCAGTTGTGGGGCTTGAACTCTGGGCCTAAGCACTGTCCCTCAGCTCTTGTTTTACCACTTGAGCCACAGCACGATTTCGGTTTTCTGATGGTTTACTGGAGATAAGAGTCTCATAGAGCCGGGCGCTGGTGGCTCACGCCTGTAATCCTAGCTACTCAGGAGGCTGAGATCTGAGGATCACGGTTCAAAGCCAGCCCAGGCAGGAGAGACCGTGAGACTCCTATCTCCAATAAACCACCAGAAAACCGGAAGTGGCGCTGTAGCTCAAGTGGAAGAGCGCTCGCCTTGAGCTGAAGAGCTGAGGGACAGCGCCCAGGCCCAGAGTTCAAGCCCCACGACTGACCAAAAAAAAAAAAAAAGAGTCTCATAGACTTTCCTGCCGGGTTGGCTTTGAACCATGATCCCAAGATCTTAGCATCCTGAGTAGCTAGGATTACAGGTGTGAGCTATCAGTGCCCAGCTTGTTTCTACATTTTCAAAAGGTGGTATTTGCCTATAGTCGAAGCTACTTGGGAAACTAAGGTGAGACAAAGAGACTCTGTGCAAGCAAATACTTAGTTCAGAATTCCTGTCTGGGGCTGAGAATGTGGCTTAGAGGTAGAGTGCTTGTCTCACATGCATGAAGCCCTGGGTTCGATTCCTCAGTACCACATACACAGAAAAAGCTGGAAGGAGCACTGTGGCTCAAGTAGCAGAGTGCTAGCCTTGAGCAAAAGAAACTCAGGGACAGTGCACAAGCCCTGAGTTCGAGACCCAAGACTGGCAACAAAAAAAAAAAAAATCCTATCTGATTCTACTACAACATCATGTGAAACCAAGTACGGATGATGCTCCATATTAAATAGAAAGGCTACTATTAAGTTTACATGAACCAATTTTCAGACCTCATGTGGAGAACATTCATTAACCATACATGGCATGAGCCCAGTTCAGAGTAAATATTCATGTCCTGCAAATACATCATCTTCTATGCTGGGACCACCTTCACTGGACAGCCTGTCCATTTTGGGGTGGTAATAAGGATTGGGGGGGAGTGAAAGTTTACACTCAAGTAGTAAATTACTTATCAGAAGCCTCCTTCCAAAGAGAAAAAGGGGAAGCCCAGCACTGGTGGCTCATGCTTGTAATCCTAGTTACTCAGGAGGCTGAAATCAGGATTGCAGTTCAAGCAAACTTGGGCAGGAAAGTCTGTGAAACTTCTAGTTCCAATTAACTACCAAAAACTGGAAATGGAGCTGTGGTTCATGTGGGAGAGTGCCAGCCTTGAGTGAAAAACCCAAAAAGGAAGGCCCTGAGTTTAAGTCCCAGTACCAGCTCCCATGGGGGGAGATGGTGGCGAGGGGCTACACGCGCATGTGCAAACACACACATACACACACACACATACACCCACACCCACACACACGAAGGGGTGGACATTTGATGATCAAACTACTCATCTGAATAGTCATCAATAGAATATACAACTGTGACTGGGGCTTGAATTCTGGGCTGAGCGCTGTAGCTGAACTCCTCAGCTCAAGGCAAGTTCTCTACCACTTGAATCACAGTGCCACTTCCAGCTTTCCAGTGGTTAACTGGAGATAAGAGTCTCATGGACTTACGTGCCCGGGCTGGCTTTGAACCGTGATCCTCAGATCTCAGCCTTCTGAGTAGCTAGGATTACAGGCGTGAGCCACCAGCATCCGGACTTAAAGCACATTGTTAAAGGAAATAAAATAAAGGTAACAAGCATTCTGACTGAGACTCAGTAAGGCATTTACTTGTTCAAATATTCACCTGAAGCTTCACTTGTTTTTGTACTTTTATTCAATCGGACTTCTTTTTTTGGGGGGGTCCGGTTGTGGGGCCTGAACTCTGGGCCTGGGCACTGTCCCTCAGCTCTTCAGCTCAAAGATAGCGCTCTACACTTCCGGCTTTTTTTTTCCTTTTTGCTTATGTGGTGCTGAGGAATCGAACCCAGGGCCTCATGCATGCAAGGCAAGCGCTCTACCACTGAGCCACCTTCCCAGTCCTCAATCAGACTTCTGATTTCCTATATTTGATTTCCTGAGATCTCTAAGTCTCAGTTTAACAAATTTTTTCTGTGAACAAGCTCTAAGCCTGCAGATTTGAAAGCAACAGGGTAGCAGCCTTCAGCATAGCTTGAGGCACAGCATGAGCCCACCAGAGGAGAAACAGGCTCCACACCTCAAAAACCTTAAAACAAAGCTGTTAGTCTATTGATTATTTCTTGTTAGTCTATTGATTATTTCTATCATAGAAACTAAAAACAGCAGTTCTCCAGTCTTAACTCCAGCAGTAAAAGAGATTAAGTACTCTTTAATTGGAAATTAAATAACCAAGTGAGATTTATGTGTTTATATTGTTTGGTTTAGAGAGCTCCCCAGATCTGCTGGAGTTTTCATGTGGATTATTCTTGGTCTGCACTAAGGTAAAAAGGTACCTGGAAGTGGCAATCTTTAGACCATTAAAATCATTTCAAATGTAAAATAAAATTCTAAAGAAGGATAAGAGGAAGTAGAGCTACAGCTCAAAGTGGTAGAGCACTATCTAGCCTAGAGCAAAAGAGTTCAGGGACACCACCCAGGCCCTGAGTTAAAGCCCTACAACAGACAATAAAATAAAATGAAATAAAGAAAGCTTTTCTTAAAAGAAATAAAGAAGGGTATGAATAAACTGAGCTTTCTTAAACAAGCATGAATCATGAGTGCTTTTCTCCAAAGTGATTCAAAACAGAAAAGTATTGCCACCTCTCCCTACAATAAGTAATAAAATCGGGAGGGAAGAAAGGAAAACAGTTGGAAGCTACTTGGACATTACCTTTGGGCTAGGGAGGCCAAATGTCTGGGTCTCCTTCCGGGGCTGACTCTTTCCTAGCTGTCTAACTGGTAATTTCTTTTATTTACTTTTCCCTTTCAGGGTCTGTCCTGATTTGCAAAGAGATGGAAAACATTGCCCCTGGGGTGCCTGGGAACTAGGGTTCCCCACCACGTGATTTCCACCTGGCTTTCCCAGGGGAAGCTTGTGGATTCCTTGGGGACCCTCAGGGTAGGAAATAACCGCGAAAGAAAGAGGTTCTGGTGGATTTTCCACCTTCTTCGGACTGTAAGGTATGTGCTTGCTTTTTACATTTCAATTAAGTGTACAGTGTAGCCAGTGCGGGGGAAATCCTACGCCCACCCCCAGCCAGATCTTGAGATATGAGAGCCCGCAAATCGGCTTGAGCCAGCTCCAGGGAAGCCACCGAGCCACTTACAAACAGGGTCTTCCATTTTCAAAGGTCTCTTCAAGCGGATGCTGGCGGGGACTGTCTTCTCGACGAGTTCATCCATGCTCTGAAATCAGAACGCAAGCGGGTGAACACCAAAGGCAGGGGAAAATGTCCCCTAGGGTAAAGAGTCACCCTTGTGTTTTGCATCTACAAAAGGGCTGCGGGAACCTCATTTCAGTCGCTCCATTGGGATTTCTTTTAAAGGGGAACTTCGAGCGAACCAGAAGCAAAAATCATGAAGCCCGGTGGTGAATCAACCTCTTCAGGTTGGATTTCAGTCGACAAGCTGGCAGTAACCGGCCAGATCCACCCTGAACCAGGAGGGGGGTCTTTCTCCATTTCCTGCCAAGTTTTAGGGCTCCTCGGTTGGGCTGGCGGGGGGGGGGGGGGGGGGGGACAAATTTTAGGCATCGGTTTTGAGGCCCAGAGGGCGGGTGGTAGAAAAGTTAAGCCGAGGGTAGGAGACGACCCCGAGCCCCCCATCCCCACCCCAGACGCAGCGCAAGAGCTGGTCCGCGCCACGGCGTGGGAGACCCACGCGAGGGACTGCCGAACTCCGGGGGTGCAGCCCGGAGGCCGCGGGACAGGCAGGGCGGAGGGGCCCCGCGAGCCCCCCCGGAGGTCCTTACCGCCAGCCCCAGGGCCTGTAGCATCTCCTTCTGGTCTTTGTCCCGGGGTCCGATGTGTCTCTGAGCGAAGTCGTCGTGGCGGGGCAGGAGGCGCTCGAGAAGGCGCGAGGCCCCGGCCGTGTCGCTGTCCCCGCCGCCGCCGCCGCCGCCGCTGCTGCGGTCCCGGCACGGTGGAGCCCAACTCGAGCCCGCGCCCCGAGCCAGGCGGCGGCCGCCCCCGACGCCGCGGCCCAGGCGCAGACCCCATGCCTTGGCACACGACTGCATGGACGCTCCCAGCCCGCGGGGGTCCGCTGCGCTCTCCGCCCTCTTCTGGCCTCAGTTTCCCCCCACCGAGCGGCCCTCTGGGTCCTGGCCCGGCGACCCTCTACTCGCGTCGGCCTGCGGGAGCTCGAGCTGCACGCTTGGGGTGGGGGTGATGGATGAGTGTCGCGGGCGGCGTGGACCGGCGCCCCAAAGTTGCGGCTGCCGGGGAGGCACCTGCTCCGCACACTTTAAGCGTCGCCGGGAGGCGGGCGGTGGGATGGGGCCAGGGAGCCCTTGGCCAATGGGAGGGACGCAGGCCGGACAGTCCCCGCCCCTCGCCTCCCTCCCGGCCCCTCCCCTCCTCCGCTCTCAGCCTTTTCCCCACCGCCATCCCCCCCCCCCCCCTCCCCCTGCCCCGCGGGTCCGCTGTGTCCCTCGGCTCCTAGCCAGGAGCCTGTCATCCCGGGTCACGCTGACGGATGCTCCGTGCGCCCTGGGCCCCGGCGGGGAAGCCGGGCCTGGCCTGGCATCTGGGGTGGGGGCGAGGGGGTGGGCAGCCCTCAGACTCCAAGTTCCCTGGGACACGATCTCCACACACTGGGCAGACTGGGAGAGTTGGTTTAGTCACCGTAAATTTCAGCTTTATCTTTGCCTTTCTTGTGATGGCCCAGTACAGGGCATTCCTTCCTTTAGCGTTGTTAGGTTGTAAGCAAAGGACCCAACCTCGCAGCTTCGGATTTCTCCGCTCGCGACACTGAATAGTACAATTAATTAATTAGTTTATTTGTTTTTGTCGGTCGTGGGGCTTGAACTCTGGGCCTGAATTCTGTCCCTCAGCGCTTCAGCTCAAGGCAAACGCTCTACCACTGAGTCACCTTCCCAGCCCTGAATAGTGTTTTTAAAAGAGGTAAATGAGAGAGTTGGTATTTCTTGCTGAGTAGCTTGGAGGAAGGCGAGGCAGGGGGAGGCGCAGTTAACTACAGAGCAAACCCAGGGCCTCAAGCTTACTAGGTAAGCAGTCTACCACTTAGCTAAATTCCAGGGCCCCTTCTCTTTTGCCCACTAGAAAGATACAGCTCTCTGGGGGCTATCTGTCCCAAAGATTTCAAAATACCAGGATTGTCTTTTGTTTTTCTCAATAAACTTAAACAGACTGTAAATGGAGTTAAAGTGTATTCAGAAAACAACCCTTCAAAGATTGGCTCCTAGAGTTAACTATCTAACTTTTATGTTTATAGTCAGTTATCTAGCCAGAGCCTGGGGCTCCCGCCTGTTAATCCTAGCTACTGAGGAGGCTGAGATCTGAGGATCACGGTTGGAAGCCAGTCCTTGCATAAAAGTTCCCAGCAGGGGCTGGGAAGGTGGCTCAGTGGTAGAGCTCTTGCCTTGCATGCCTGAGGACCTGGGTTCGATTCCCCAGCACCACATAAGCAAAAAGAAAAAAGCTGGAAGTGGCACTGTGGCTCAAGTGGTAGAGCGCGAGCCTTGAGCTGAAAGCTGAGGGACAGCGCCCAGGGCCAGAATTCAGGCTCCACAACCGGACCCAAAAATAAAAAATAAAAGTTCCCAGCAGACTCTTATCTCCAATTAACCAGGTGTGGCTCAAAGTGGTAGAGCCCTAGCCTCGAGCAAAAAGAGTTCTAGGAGTTCCAGCCCCAGGACCAACAAAAATACATTAATAAAGTCAGAGCCCTAGCCTCGAGCAAAAAGAGTTCTAGGAGTTCCAGCCCCAGGACCAACAAAAATACATTAATAAAGTCAGTTATCTTATCAGTAGTGGAATACAGTAGAATGTTGGTCTTGGGCCTAGAATGGGAAAGAACTTTAGTTTTCAGAAGTGGAGTTGTAGGCCGGTCTCTAGTGGCTCAAGCCTGTAATCCTAGCTACTCAGGAGGCTGAGATCTGAGGATCATGGTTCAAAGCCAGCCCCCGGGCAGAAAAGTCTGTGAGACTCTTATCTCCAATAAACCACTAGAAAACCAGAAGTGGCGCTGTGGCTCAAGCGGTAGAGCTCTCACCTTGAGCTGAAGAGCTGAGGGACAGCACCCAGGCCCAGAGTTCAAGCCCCACGACCAACAACAACAACAAAAAAGTGGAGTTGTAGGCTTGGCTCAGTTGGTAGAACACTGGCCTATGAGTGAAAGCAGCAGGTACCTAGTTCAAATCCTAGTCTCAGACCTAGAAAACAAAGAAAGAAAAAAAAAAGAAAGGAAGAAAGAAAAATTTCACTAGTGATTAGTGTATTTATTGAAGGCAGATCTTTGATAGACCAAATATTTGCACCTTTCCTTCTTCCAGTGGGGTACTAAAGAACTGAAAGGAAGGTCCAGCTGCTTCTAGATGCCCAGAGAGTTTATAACAGGTCAGAAACATAGAGAGCTTCAATGTTTCAAAAGAACCCCTTGACTTCTGTTGCTACATGAAAAATGTCCTTCAGAAATCCTTGGATAAGGGCTGGGAAGGTGACTCAGTGGTAGAGCGCTTGCCTTGCAATGCATGAGGCCCTGGGTTCGATTCCCCAGCACCACATAAGCAAAAAGAAAAAAGCCAGAAGTGGCGCTGTGGCTCAAGTGGTAGAGCACTAGCCTTGAGCTGAAGAGCTGAGGGACAGCGCCCAGGCCCAGAGTTCAGGCCCCACAACCGGACCTAAAAACAAACAAACAAACAAAAAAAACCCAGAAATCCTTGGATACAAGTGGCATCGGATCCTGTAGCTACAATGTTTGATCCTGTAGATTGCCAAATTTCCAACCCAGTTGAATCCATAGCTTTATTGGTCTCATATATGAAACTATAGGATTAATCAGAAACTTAGAATGGGGGCATTTTGATAGTTTGGAATTAATACAATTTTTTTTTTTTTTTGGTCTTAGGGCTTGAACTCTGGGCCTGAGTGCTGTCCCTCAGCTGTTCAGCTCAAGGTGAGTGCTTTACTGCTTGAGCCACAGTGCCACTTCTGGTTTTCTAGTGGTTTATTGGAGATAAGAGTCTCACTGACTTTCCTGCGGGCTGGCTTTGAACCGCGATCCTCAGATCTCAGCCTCCTGAGTAGCTAGGATTACAGGCATGAGCCACTGGCACCCAGAAATACAATTATTTTAAATCCTAAAATTCTACTGAATCTCCCTTGCCAATGGAACCAGCTCCTCCTTCCTCCTTCCCTCTTTGAGAGGCTGGCCATAACTTCTGTGAAGAACCTATAGTGATTTCTTTTCTTTTTCTTTTTCTTTCTTTTTCATTTTCCCTCCCTCCCTCCCTCCCTCCCTACTTTCCTCCCTCCCTTCCTCCCTACTTTCCTCTCTCCCTCCCTCCCTCCCTCCTTCCCTTCCTTCCTTCCTTCCTTCCTTCCTTCCTTCCTTCCTTCCTTCCTTCCTTCCTTCCTTCCTTCCTTCCTTCCTTCCTTCCTTCCTTTTAACCGGTCCTGGGGCTTGAACTGAGGGCCTGGGCACTGTCCCTGACCTTCATTTTGTTCAAGGCTAGCAATCTATCACTTGAGCCATAGCACCCCTTCTGGCTTTTTCTGTTTATGTGGTACAGAGGAATCGAACCCAGGGCTTCATGCATGCTAGGCAAGCACTCTGCCACTAAGCCACATTCCCAGCCCTAATGATTTCTTTATAGGCATTAATTTTGCAAAGAGATATCAGTACTTCTTTGCTCCCTGGCCTATAACTAGAATGAAATCTAAGCATACTACTAGACCGAGAGTAAGCTATCTGAGTGTGGACGCTTACAGTCTAGCAGCTGTTCCTAACAGTTATTATCACCACAGGATTTTTTTAACAGATGATAGTGAAGATTGATTTATTAGGAAAGTAAAAGTACACCTTGAGGCAGGGGTACTGCAGGTGTGTCAACTTCCTTAATCAGGACAGTACCTTGAGGGTGAGGCAGGTGTTTGGATACAGGCCAGGAAGGCTTGGAAGCTGTTGGAGCGAAGGGCATCTTCCTGTAGGGGTTACTAAATTCAGAAAACTGAGAACCTGGGGGCTGGGAAGGTGGCTCCGTGATAGAGCGCTTGCCTTGCATGTAGGAGGCCCTGGGTTTGATTCCTCAGCACCACATAAACAAAAAGAAAAAAGCCGGAAGTGGCGCTGTGGCTCAAGTGGTAGAGTGCTATCCTTGAGCAAAAGCAGCTCAGGCACAGCGCTCAGACCCTGAGTTCAAGCCCCAGGACTAGAAAAAAAAAAACAAAACCCGAAGAAGAATATTTGGTGTTGGGAAAACTGGCCATCCATAATGCAGAAAACTAAAAGTGGATCCTGTTTACCACCAAGCACCACTATTAATTCAAAGAGTATCAAAGACTTCAACACCAGCCTCAAAACTTTGAAACTGGGGCTGGCAAGGTGGCTTAGTGGTAGAGTGCTTACCTCGTATGCATGAGGCCTTGGGTTCAGTTTCTCAGCACCACATAAGCAGAAAAAGCTGGAAGTGGTACTGTGGCTCAAGTGGTAGAGTGCTAGCCTTGAGCTGAAGAACTGAGGGACAGCACCAGGCCCAGAGCTCAAGCCCCACAACCAACCAAACAAACAAATAAACAAACTTTGAAACTACTGCAAAAAGCATAGGAGAAACATTAGAACTTACAGGTATAGGTAGAAACTTCTTGAATAGAGTCCCAGGGATACAACAGATAGGAGAGAAACTGACTAGTGGGACATTAAAATAAGCTCAGCTTAAGGACATAGCTACTGAACTAGAAAGACAGCCAACAAACTAGGAAAAGATCTTCACCAGCAATATAGTAGACAAAGGCCTAATATCCAATGTATACAAGGAGCTCAATAAACTAATCCCTCCCAATGATAATAAATGAATCACTAAATGGGAAAAGGAGCTAAGGAGAGACTTCTCAGAAGAAGAGGTAAGAATGGCAAAGAAGGGCTGGGAAATATGGCTTAGCAGTAGAGTGCTTGCCTAGCATGCATGAAGCAGTACCACACGATTCCTCAGTACCATATAAACAGAGAAAGCCAGAAGAGATGCTGTGGCTCAAGTGGTAGAGTGCTAGCCTTGAGCAAAAGAAGCTTGGGATCAGTGCCCAGGCCCTGAGCTCAAGCCCCAGGTCTGGCAAAACAACAACAACAAAATTAAACTAAACATAGACCTTTATCATCACCCAGCCATACCATTCTTACACATCTACCTGAACATCATGAGCTGCCCCACACTAGGTTAGTGGATCCAA